CAAAGGACTTTGGCGGGCCTCCAAGCCGAAGGCGGGGTTGTGTCTGTGTTTGTCTGTCGACGTAAAACAAGGACCTGCACTTCTGGAGGTACCTCTGACAACACAAAGAATTGGCTGGGCACGTCATTCTTTTGCCGGTTCCACTTGGGCATCAGCACCAAATATTGCCGAGTGGTATGCTCAAAATCGTCACTCAATTCTGCAGCTTCAACAAAAACAAATTGAAGTTGGATCTCTCTCTGTTTGTATTGATGTCCGACTGCCAGCGCGCTGCAAATCAACCCCGTCCTGACTCCCAACCCTCCATTGACTTTGGCGTGGACTTTGGCGGGCTTCTAAGCAGAAGGCCGGTGTTTTTTGTTTGTGTGTGTGCGCGTCTGTGTTTGTTTGTCAACGCAAGACAAGGATGTCCACTGTGTCTCTAACACCACAAATAATTGGCTGGACAAGACATGTTTTGCCGCTTCCAGCACCGCAAATTGCCGATGTTCAAGATCCTCACACAACTCTGTAGCTTCAAAAAAAAGGCACACAGTGAAAGCTCCAACGCGCTGCAAACTCATTCCGTCCTGACTCCCAGCCCTCTCTGGACTTTGGCATGGACTTTGGCGGGCCTCCAAACCGAAGGCCGGGTTTGTGTGTGTGTGTGTGCGTGTGTTCGTGTTCGTGTTTGTCTCTAAGCGGCTCCGGTCTGGTTTGTATGTTGTCACTCTCAAGCCAGCAAGGAAGGGACAGTGCTATTTGCACGTTTGCCATCAGCAGTTTGCATATCTTTGCCATGTGTATTGTTTGCAGCTCTAACAAAGCAATTTTCTCAGCTGAAGGGCTTGCACGTCTTCGCACGTCTTGAGGCTTGGTAAACCATTTTTCCCGGCAACCAAATTGGAAGAAAGGCTTTCCCAGAAGGGCTCCGGCTCGAATTGTGCGTTTGTGGAAGCCTAAAAATGCAAATGCAGGGTGGCCCAAACACGCGTATTACGAGTAGGATGCTCCAGTCTTCAAAATAAACGCGCGCCCTGTCTCCTTCCAAATGGGCCGAACAAACAGCAAATGAAGGGTCCGCAGTTCAAAATATACAGATGGAAACGAGCTTGAGTGAACATGGATTTTTTGAAGGTGAGCACATGCAACTTGGAGAGCTCGCTGAGCCAACTTTGCATGTTTGAGGCACCCAATAAAGCATTTCGGTAAGCCGAGTTCCCCCGAAGCCACTTGAGTCATGGTCAAAACCTAGTATTAAAATTGTCACACCCAGAACTGTGTAAATAATTCAAAAGTCCCTTACTACTCCAATTACCCGGGTTGATTGTGACTCACTTATAGGCGGTCATTGCTGCCAAACTGGCCGAAAAAACCAACCATATGCAGTTTGGCACTTGAAAGCAGTCAATCCTGTCGAACGAAAAGCCGCAAATCAGTGGGCCCAGGTCCAATTTGCACTCTTGAGACACCCAAAAATGCATTTGGCAAGCCGAGTACAACCAAAACCAAGTCAATGTGCCAAATAGGCTGACTCGAGGGTTTCAGGTCAGTCCAAAAATTAATCTTGCGAAGCCTACTTCCCCCGAAGGCATGCGTATTCAGCCACTCCTACCAAGCTGAATCAAGGGCCCTACGAAAGGGTTGCCAGTCAACGCTGCCACGCAGCCCAAACAAGCTGCAGGTGCGGTTTGCATGCCCCGAAAAAGCTTTCTGACACCCTGTTTGTTTTTCCAATCCTGTCCTTGATGTGGCCAGCAGAATTCATCGATCTAAGAACAGATCACCACCAGCGCGCCCAAGCAACTTACAATTGGCATTTTGCGCTGCCTGGATAGGGAAAAGCAGCATCATGCAACAACTAGCGTTCTGAAATTCTAGCGATGTTGTTGTCTGTCTTTTTACACTCTGCTTGAAAACAAGCGTTCTGCCAAAACTGGATCTCTAGCGACTGATGCTACCCTGCTCTGTCCTGCGGGTAAGCCCTCCATGAACTTTGGCGGGCCTTGCGGGAGGCAGTGGTGTGTCTGCCCAGGTTTTTGTACTTTTGTCCAGGGCTTCCTCATACATGAACAAGGAGTCAAATGCCGCTAGCCAAGGCAGTGCAATCCAATTGCGCCATTGTGTGGAATCCGTTCCAGAAGAATGTAAACATCAGGTAGTGCACTTGTAACAACAGGATTGTGCAACATATGCATCGAAAGCCAGATTCTGGTCCGCATAGAACCGGACAACCACAAGGCGAAGTGGTTGAAACATGGTCTTGGCAGGCGCTTTGAAAGCGCCCCTCCCAAAAAAGGCGATGCTCTGAACCGGGCAACGCAAACGGTGTTTGTGACCAAACTTTTCTTGCACGTTGCGGTCACAGTCGGCGGCGCAGGCACCGCAACTCTGAAAAAAAACAAAAAAGGGATCTCACTGCCCTGTCCTGCGCCCAAACTCTGCATGGACTTTGGCGGGCCTGGCAGGGGGCCGTGGTGAGTCAAACAAAATGAGCATTGCACTTCTGAGAGTGCCCGCCTTGTGCACTGTTTGCCAAGGCCTTCCCAACACATGAGCACAGGCACGAGTAAGCGCGCATAGTTAAATGATATCCAACTGCGCTATAGCATCAGGATTGGGACAGTATGTTTAACCAGCCAGATCAACCGCACAACTAAAAGGAGGTGGCTTGACTTGTGGTTGGAACGTTTAAACCAGCGGCTGGTCGCCCGCTGAGCACCCACGACCTCTGGACCTCTTTCGATTTCCAGCTGGACCTGGCCCCAGCCTCCTGGCTTCGGTCCTGCGTGCGGCTGGCAAGTGAGAAGGCGGAAAGCAGCCCGCCCATCAAGAAGAGACAAAAAGGGTGCTGAACTGGCCAAGGCCAAAGCATTTGTGGCAAAAAGTTGCTTGCGCGTTGCGGTCACTCAATTCTGCGGTAACCGCACTGCAATTCTGCAAAAATGAATCTGGGGTTAATTGTGGCACTTTTCAAAGCAAATCCATCGACGCCCTCCAGTGCTCTGTCCTGCGCTCAAGCTCTGCATGGACTTTGGCGGGCCTCCAAGCCGAAGGCCGGGTTTGCATGTGTGTGTGTGTGTGTGGGTTTGTGGGTTTGTGGGTTTGTGGGTTTGTGGGTTTGTGGGTTTGTGATGGTTTGTGGGTTTGTGGGTTTGTGCGTTTGTGTGTTTGTGTGTTTGTGTGTTTGTGTGTTTGTGTGTTTGTGTGTTTGTGTGTTTGTGTGTTTGTGTGTTTGTGTGTTTGTGTGTGTGTGCGTGATCGTCAAATGAGGGAAGCGATCTACTCTGTGGAGATATCTCCTTTTGCCCAAGTCGAGAAGTATCTCAGTGGGACCTTCTGCAGCTCCCACTTGAGCCGTGTTTTTTTGATGGTGTGGGGCCTATACACTGGAAGCACATACCTACGCGGAGGCTACGCGGCTGTCTTTTCCCCTAGGAATTTGGCTACGCGGAGGCTACGCGGAACATATTTGTTGATAAGTGGCTACGCGGGGGGCTACGCCGGGGCTACGCGAATACCCGTTGGCAACCGGAAGTTCGTAGTTGCAGAAGTAGTAGTACTAGTAGTGGCAGTAGCAGTAGCAGTAGTAGTAGTAGTAGTAGTAGTAGTAGTAGTAGTAGTAGTAGTAGAACTAGTACTAGTACTAGTACTAGTACTAGTACTAGTACTAGTACTAGTACTACTACTACTAGTACTAGTACTAGTAGTAGTAGTAGTACTAGCACTAGTAGTAATAGTAGTAGACGTATTAGTAGCAGGAGCAGTGGTAGTAGTAGCAGTAGTAGTGGTGGCAGCAGTAGTAGTGGTAGTGGTAGTGGTAGTAGTGGTAGCAGTAGTAGCAGTAGTAGTAGTAGTAATGGTAACAGTAGTAGTAGGAGGCATGTGGGCCAGTGGCCTTGAACACGCCTTGGAGGCTACGCGGAGGCTACGCGCAGGCTACGCTGAGGCTACGCGGAATGAGCGAACTCAGCTCTGGCCGGGCCAAGGCAAATCAAATTCACCCTCTTTCTCTGAGACACGCAAGCTTTCAACCTAAGCCTTGAGCTCAAGACAAAGGATCTAGGCGGAGGCTACGCGGACGATTGTCGACAGCTCCCTTTGCTAGTGGCTACGCGGAGGCTACGCGAGGCTACACGGTCCCAGGAGCAGGCTACGCGGCTACCATGCCAGTTCCCCTCTCCTTTTGGCTCCTGCATTAAAAAAAAACAACGCTGCTCACTTGGGAGCAACGGTTTTAGAACATGTCAAATCTGTAGATCAAGTGTAACCTTGGCATCTGATTGCAAGGCTCTCCTGATTCCTTTCAGAAAAGAGGTAAGCACGAATCATCAGCAGCAAAAGTTGCCGAACGGTATGTTCAAGATCAAACTCAACTCTGCAGCTTCAATCAAAGCACAAACGTGAACATAGGTGTCCTTTTAGGGGAAATAGATGGCCCAAAACCACCAGGTAAAGCAGGGCCATCTATTTTTCTAGCAAAACAACAAGAAGGACACCTATGAACGTGAATTGAATCTCTTGCCATGTGTGGCACTTCCGACTGCCAACGCGCCACAAATCCACTCCGTCCTGGCTCCCAACCCTCCATGGACTTTGGCGTGGACTTTGGCGGGCCTCCAAGCTAAAAGCCGGGTTTGTGTGTGTGTGTGTGTGTGTGTGTCTGTGTTTGTCAAAAAAATAAGGATCTGAACTTCTGGACGCTTTTGGCAATTTTCGAGGTATCTCTGACGATGCGAACACTTGGATCTGTTGCCGCTCCCACTAGTCGCAATGTCAGGTTCTGTATATAGGACATGTCAAATCTGTCACACACACACACACACATATCAAGTGTAACCTTGCATCTATTGACTGCGAGGCGTTCCAACAATAACACAAGAAATGCAAGCAAGATTCGTCAGCATTGCCGAATGGCATGTTCAAGATCATCACTCAACTCTACAGCTTCAAGCTCACAAACAAACGTAAGCCGTTTGTATGGCACGTCCGACTCCCAACGCACTGAAATCCACTCCGTCCTGACTCCCAACCCTCCGTGGACTTTGGCGTGGACTTTGGCGTGGACTTTGGCGGGCCTCCAAGCCGAAGGCCGGAGTTCTGCTTGTGCGTGTGTGTGTGTGTGTGTGGTGTTTGTGAGAATGACATAAGGACCTGTACTTCTGGAGGCCTTGGTTGCTGTTGATCCAGCAAAAGTATTATTTGTTTGTGTGTTCAACGGAAAATTCACTGTTTCCCAAAAAGTTAAGGTCCAAACATCCAACCGAAAAGCCATAAAGAGAGGTATGCCCTTTTACGCAAGTGGAAGGGTATCTCTGACAACTTGAACAATTGGATCAAAACCATTGCAAGCATAATTCATCAACATCCCCAATGGACAAATGGTATGTGCAGATTGTCACTCAACTCTGCAGCTTCAAACAAACAAACGTCAACGCACTGCGAACTCGCTCCGGCCTGACTCCCAGCCCATGGAAGTTGGCGCGGACTTTGGCGCGGACTTTGGCGGGCCTTTGGCGCCGAGGCCGGGCTTCAGTGGGGTTTGCCGAAATAAGATAAGGATCCGCTCTTCCAAGCGGAGGGGGATCTCCGAAAAGAGTCAATGGTGGGATCGTTTGACGCTTCTAAAGGCCACATCGGCTTTGAAAGATGTCAAATGTGTCACACACATGAATGGGTATCAACTTTTAACTAAGGACCGTGGACATTACTCCGGTGGGGACTCATGTCCGCCAGCCAGGATTCAACTTACAGCCAGATGAAGTGCAACCCTTGTCGCGAATCATCAAGCCAATTTGCCGAACGGTATGTTTATGGTACGTTCAAGGTCCTTGGCGTCACTCAACTCTGCAGCTTCAATGCGAAACATGGGGACGCATTTTTTTGTGGGACCCCCCAAAATGGTGGTTTTTCCTTTTGGTTCTCCTTGAAAACACCCCCAAAAAGACAAATACCCGCAAAAAAGACACACACAATATCGTGAGATCTCTTGCCGGTGGCACTTCCGACGAACGCGCTCCGGATCTCCGTCCTGACTCCCAGCTCTCCATGGACTTCGTAGGCTTCGGTGCGCCTCGAAGCGAAGCGAAGGTGTGTGCACGTGCGCAGGGGACGCAGAAAAATCCATTAAAACCCTCGCCGGAGCTTCTGCCACGCAAAAAACAACTCAGATGCCCAGTGGAGTTTCAGGGAAAAAAAGGGCATCCTTTTGTTGGTTGGTTGAGTTTAAAGGCCACAAAGAAGGAGAAAAAGAGGCACTACTGGGCAACTGGGACACAATAAACAAAGAAGACATGCAACACAACACATCCTGGAAGGATAGATGGAGAGCGACCTGGGCTGCACCGGCAAAAAAAAAGAGCTGCCATCGCAGCAACTCCGATCGTCCAGACCCCAAGGCCCCGGAGCCCGCAGGCCAAGGCTACCGAAGGTCAGGGGGGATGTCCAAACGTGTAGCTCAAAATGAACCAAGGGTTACGCAGATGTTCGTTGGCGCCATTTGCCAAGCTTCAACTTTGGTGCATTTATTTGAGCCACAAACAACGATCAGCTTCCCTCGTTTGGCTTGGATTGGTGGATTGGTGATAGAGGAAGCGGCTTCCCATTCACCGTCCACAAACCACCAATTAAAGGGAGGCTGCAACCATAAGCTGCAAGAACTTGCCACGGCAAGACTGTGCCAGCAGGCTGTGCAGGCAGCCGGGCAAAACATCAACATGATCAAACACATTGAAAGCGCGGCGCTAAATTTCCAAAGCCATGCTGGTGGATTCCGCAAACAAAAACAACAACAAACCATCTGAGATGCATTTCAAGCAAAGGATGCGGCTAAAAACGCCATCTTGCTGTTGGCATCTATGCGGCTTCAATGATCTACAACTTTATAACTCCAAAAGCTGAACTAAGGGATCCCCAAGTAAGGGACCTTTATCATGAGCTGGTTATACCCCCGAATCGGTGAGCTCGCAATGACATAGGCAGAGCTATGGCTATGGGTCAAAACCCCGTACCCCAAGTGAACATCTCAATCCCCACTCAAATAGGTGAAATGGGTGGTGCACCTACCCCAACATGTCCCATTGGTGTTGACCCACGGCCTTATGGACACACCAATAAAGTGAGCGGCCAATCCGCACGGGCCATGGGTCAACTTTCCCAGCGTCCGGCCTCCCGGCTTTGGCTGTCCCGGGATCTCATCCGGCATTCGTCCTCAGTCCAGCCACCCCGACACTCCACAATTCGCTCCCAGAGGGTCAACCCGAGGAATAGAAACTGCAATTGATTGGTCCACCTCAGGCCTCATCTCCACTTTCACTTGGCGCAAGAAACTATGTTTAGCGCAATTCAACTGTGTTGGTCATGTAGCAAGTGTAGAACCTTGACATCTCTTGCTTGCGGGGCTCGGAAACCTCTCACCCCAGCTCTGCACCCTTCCCTCCCATCGAATAAAATGGTCGAATCCTCAAGCTTGCAGGCTTGATTTCGATCCCAAGTCTAGGCTGTCCATTTTCAGATCTGCGAAAAGCATAATAGTGGCATAAATATGGAGAAAAGAACACTCACTTAAGCCATCTACAAATCAAAAAACAAACTAAGGAACCCGTGGGTCCCCCACCAAGCAATCCGGCCTCTCGCCGACCGGCTACTGCCGAGCGAGTCGAGCGCCCTTCCTGTCCTCTTCCCCAGCCCTCCATAGGCTTCGTCGAGCCTACGTAGCTGTAAGCCCGGCGCAGTCATGTCTCGACGACAGAAGCGAAGAAAGGCAGAATAAAATATGTGGATGGTTGTAAAAATCCAAATGTCGCACCGTTCAGAAACGGTTTCTGATTCGATTCCCCTGTAAATGCCACGAAGCATAGTTTCAACCATGGTGTCATGTCGTGGTGCGAATGGGATTTTGAAACCATCCACAGTATGTGCGTGCGTGCAAGAGAGGGGTAAAGAATCCTGGCGAGAGCTTCGCCACAAACCCAAGAACTCGCATGTACGCGAAGTACCAAGAACCTGAATTGCACCCTCCTTACCGCAACTTCTTCCCAAGCAACCTGAACAGACACAGGGGGAACTCATAAACACACAAACCCAAGCACACACATCAAAATAAAGCCTCGTTGAATACTGAAGCCGCTGAAGCACCACGCTGTATCCAGATCTGCATTTCAATCAAATGAAGCAGCTCGAGTCTCTAGCCCACACACCGCTCTTGTTCGGCTGCTATGTCACTTGCTGTTGCAACAACAATGGTCCAAATTCCTACGCAACATGTTGCACCGGTCATCTTCCGTCTGCCCAATGGCCCTCTCTGCCCACATTTGTCCCAAGCCCCAGCCTCCCGCTGGCTTTGGCTGTCCTGGGCCCAGAACGTCGCATCAGCCGGCTAGCAAGAACCCCACACGACTCGCCTGCGCAATTCGTAGAAAAAACGAGTTGGCCAAAGCATGTTGTTCAATGGCTGCGCGGCATCTTGCATCCATTGCACGAGAAAGCTTGACACTTCTGTGAAAGGAAACGTGCAAACACTATGCTTGTAAATTGTGGGCTTGAATCTGCGCTTATTGTTTGCCCACATGCCAACCCTTGCAGCTCACTAAACATCTCCAGGCACAAACTTTGCAGAACAAACTCCCATTGGCCAGTTCCGTCGCATCCATTTAGCACAATACCGTGCTTAAAGCGTTTGTTGATCAGCTGTGGCTCTGACAATCAATTCCTTCGTCTTCCAAGTACCTGCAAAAATAGGGTCCTTTTCGATTTTGATCTTGGTTTCAAGTTTCAAAATCGGCCAGAGGCCTGCTTTTCCAGGCTCCCGGAAGAAGGACATGGAACCTCTTGCCGCTTGTGTGACACTTTCGGCCAATGTGCAAATCGGCGGCTGCGTCCTGAGCCCCAGCCATCCATGGACTTTGGCGTGGACTTTGGCAGGCCTCCAAGCCATCAAGGAACGTACGTGTCTCTGTGCGTGAGTGTGCGGGTGGGTGTATGCACGTGCACGTGTGGGTGTGGGTGTTTGCGGGTGCAGGATAGGTAAAAACACTCCCCTTCTCAGCCGCAATGCCGCAATGCCGGAAGGAAAAGCAATCACAGGGAAACAACGACAGCAACAAATACAGTAAACACAATGCCGCACCCGGGTCGTGTTGAAGACCGCTGTTGGGGAAGCCCTCCCCGCATCCCCCGAGACATCCTTCAAGCTGCATTTCAAGGGAATCAGGCAACGCCGCCAGATTATAGCTCGTGCATCATCTCCTTGGCACAGAGGTGACCTCAATTCGTGAACACAAAACTAGGGTCATAACATCCGATGCAACATGGACTGATCATCTTCCATCCGCCCAATGGCCCTTCCGCCCTTCCCGTGCGCGTTGGCCTCCTGGCTTGGGCTGTCCTGTGCCCAAAAGGCTGTCGAACCCTACAAACATGTCTTGGCCTGCTCGAGTCATATTCTGATCTCAGGGATTCTCGACACTGCAACTTGCTGGTTCCAACCCCCCCCCCCAGCCCCCGCCTCTAAGGCTTGCAACCGTTTTCCTGGTTGTCTTTATCATAGCACTTAGCAGCATTGGTGAAAGCCGGGCAATAAAACTGAGGCATACCAATGTACACACGCACACAAGTAAGCTGTAGCCTTTGGCCTACCATTGCTCGCTCAGTTCTCCCATCTGCGAGCTTGCTGCTGGCTACACATCTCTGGAACACTTGGCACAACAGCGGCCAATCAGTCCATTCTGTCAGCCCTCCTCACTGCTTCTTCTGCTTGGAGCAACACCATTCTTGCAATGACATACGTGGGTAATCTTGATATCTCTCGATTGCATTCCTGAAACTTTGCAACCGTGGGCACCGTCAACAAGGCCTCGCCAGCCAATGCAACACAATTTCGACAGCCAAAACAGACCTCCACAGCCTCCACAGCCTCAACATATGGCCATGGGTCAAAACCCCGTACCCCCAGTAAACATCCCAATCCCCACTAAAATAGGTGCTAAAACGGGTGGTGCACCTACCCCAAAATGGGATCCCATTGGTTTTGACCCACAGCCATATGTTTTGTTCGCCTGCGGCACTTCCGACTGGCCCAACCCGTCCTGAGCCCCAGCCCTCCATAGACTCTAACCCTAGCCGCATGCCATGAGGTGGCGCCAGCTTAACCAAACAACCCCCAAAACAGGCGTCGGTCCTGAGCTTTACTTGCGATGCGAGAAAAAAAGAAAGAAAAACAACTCGGCTTGAGTCCCATGGAATTCTGTGCCAAGTCTAAAGTGGCATACAAAACAGACATCTGCAAGCGAGCTGCTCTGATGTCTGGCCCCAAGACGTACCAGGGTTGCCTTTGCGCCCTTTCGTGCTTTGAGTCGGCCAAACCTGGGCTGCTCTCTACATATCTCACAGAGACTTGGAGTGACCAATCCGCTTCCACTATGCTGCACTTGGAACATTTTCACATAAGTATGTGTCAAAATAGGACATGATTGGCTTCATGTTCATTCACATCCCCACATCTAATCCTGAAAAAAGGTTGATTTCTTGATTGTCGCGCTTGTTTGTCCGCCCTGTGGCATCCCGAATGGGGCTTTAAATGGTTTCGATTGAAAGTTCCCAACTCTGAACAACCCCCAAAATGGCACCCTCCAAAAAATCAAGTCCACTCCCGGTCTCCCGTTCATTGGCCCGAAAGTGGCACCAAAAGCTCCCACACGACGAGGCAACCCGGTCCTAAGCCCACGTCCTCCAACTTCGGGCCTGCAATTCGGTGGCTCGTCCATTCTTTTTTTCTCTGGTGTCCTTTTTTGACGGTTTCTGCGGGTTGTCAAAGTGAGAAAATGGGGTTGTTTCCCTTTAACCCACCACTTAGGGGGTGACTTTGATCGCGAAACAATGAGGCCAGTTTCTGGTTGGAGACCCCAAAATGGTCGTTTCTCCTTTTAAAACCACCAAAATAAGGGGGGAGAGCTTTCCAAACGACACGATACCATGTGTAAGAAGCGCGCACTCGAGACTCCCCTTGGAGCTGAGAGAATGCCAAAACCAGCACACGAGGATCGCAAGTGTAAGAAACAAAGAACTCCTTGCCGGCGCTTCTGTTGCCAAGCCGGACAGAAACACAAGAACCCGAACCCACACTACTTGGTTGATGTTGGAAGGGGAGCAACAAATCAAAATTGTAGCAGTTGAGTGGTTGGATTTCAACCACTCAACCACAAATTTGCAAACATGATTCAGATGTTTCCCAACAAGAACCATGACTGGGAAAATACAATCCAGTAATACAGCCACATGAACTTCACCATGGTCAAGGTGGAGCTTCTCAAAGACATGAGGGGAAGCCTCCCCGGCTCTTGTGGGGAAGCCCCTTGCGCATTCTTAGAGATGTATTCTCACTTCCCAAGTTGACTGGCCAAAAAACGTCTGAACTTTTTATCTACCACTAAAATGGTCTTTCCAAAAAGTTTAAAGTCCATCAACTCAGGAAGTGAGTAAAACAGGTAACAGCTCTCCACTTCTGTGGATGGTTGTGAACTCCATTTTGCAGCACCCGAGAAACACGTGGTTGAAGCCATTGTTTGTTGGTATTTGCAGGGGAATCGAATCAGAACCCGGCACCAGGGTTTCTTAGGTGGCGCAACATGGATTTTGCAACCATCCAGAGCATTGGTAAACACACTGTAACATGCAGTCTCACTTCCGATCGAGTGGAATGGAAGTAAGACAAGTCCTGGAACTTGTTTTTACCACCAAAATTTGGTCCAAATCCCAAAAGTTTAAATCAAAGTCCAAATCCCAAATGGTCCAAATCCAAATCCCAAAATGGCCCCAATCCCCCCAAATCCCAAAAATGGTCCATGAACTCAAGTGAGGATTCAATCCGCCAACGCAGCGGCGTGGGAGAGGAGTCGATCTGCCCCGGCAGCCTCCCGCCGGCTTCGAAGGTCCTCGAAGGCCGAACCGCTGGCAAGACCAGTTCCCATGGTCCCATGGTCTGGCAACTTGATTAAAAAAAACACGGCCGTGGCTCAAAAAAGTAACTACCAAAATGGCACCTTGGCAAATGGAACGGCCCAAAACCTGCGTGACATAAAAGCTCTTTAATTTTGAGCCATACCCACATCACAACCAGATTCCACGACTCTCTGAGTTTTCGCGCTTGTTGACTTTCTCAAGTCATCTTCGGACACGACTCAATGCGCTGGTGAATCAAAACATCTTGAGAAACGGAGACTGGACGTCACAAACCCAGGCAGGCAGGTCAACACAAACACAAGACGGCCACTCTGAGCTTTGGGGTTGACCTCTTGTGTGAGATGAAGGGAACCATCCCATGGTGTCCCTGTATCTTCCCGCAGGAAATCAAGCAGGCAAACGTTGAGCTATCTGCTGTGGACACTATGATTGCAGGTGCAAGCACCCTCAATGTCGCCTTGCGTCACTCAAGTCTGCCAAAAAAAGCCTCTGACAGCACGAAAGAAACGAAAGGCAGGTTCTCTCGCCGTCGTTTTTTCGCACACCCGACGGACCCACAATCCGCTGCGTCCTAAGCCCAAGCCTTCCACGGACTTTGGGCCTGAAAGTCTCAGGAGCCCTGCCCTCACATCAGACCCCATCTTTCTCGCAGCAAGACTCTGGCAAAAAATGCCAAGCGCTCATTCACGGGCACTTGACCCTTGGCGAGAACAGCGGTCCGACTTTCTACTTCTTACGCAACATGTTCTACCCGTCATCTTGCGTACTGCCCCTGACCCAACTGTGCGCGAGCATTGTCCCAAGCCCCAGCCTCCCGCTGGCGTTGGCTGTCCTGGGCCCAGAATGTCGCATCAGTCGCGGGCTGGCAAGAACCCCGCAAACATGTTGTTCTCAATCTGCCGGATCACATGAATTCTCAGCAAGTCAGCAAGCAAGCAACAATCAGTTGGCCCGCGTTGGCTTCTTCACTGTAAGGACCAAGCAACATTTTCTTTACTGCCGCTTTCAAAGCGCCACTTTTGTGTTCCATTCTAGAATCCTTGCTAGCTCTCGTTAACTCTCGCTACGTCTTTCCGTATCGAATACTTACTTATATAGGCATGTGCTGATTCTACAGATCCACCGAACAGATCGACATTTCTTGATCGCCGGGGGTTCCTGAAACCTTGAAAAAAACAGCGGTAAGTGAAACATATTGCTGCTGCTGCGGCGCTTCCGACTGCAATCTCCATGATCTGTCCTGAGCCCCAGCCTTCCATTGACTTTGGCGGGCCTCTCAGCCGCACTTGGCAAGGCAGAGTCATGTCGGCCAAACACTATCCAACGCACACAAACACTCCTGACCGGAGCTTGTGTCACAAGGCCAGAGAAAAAACACACAAACAGCATTCAACAACAGAAGAGCAAAAACTGAAACAAGCACACATTAACAACAAACATGATAAAGCATACTGCCACGGGTGTGGGAAGACCATCTTTCTCGATGCATTGCAAGCAACACTCTCGCAACAAATGCCAAGCGCATACTTCGGGCGCTTCATGGACCAGTGGCAAATACAAGAACAGCGGTCCGACTTTCTACTTCTTACGCAACATGTTCTACCCGTCATCTTGCGTCTGCCCCTGACCCGTCTGTGCGCGCATTGTCTCAAGCCCCAGCCTCCCGCTGGCTTTGGCTGTCCTGGGCCCAGAATGTCGCATCAGTCGCGGGCTGGCAAGAACCCCACAAACATGGTGTTCTCAATTTACCTGATCCCATGCGTTCTCAGCAAGCAAGCAGCAATCAGTTAGCCGCGTTGGCCCCTTCACTGTAAGGATCAAGCCACATTTTCTTGACTGTCGCTTTCAACTCGCCACCTTGTGTCCCATGCGCCGACCCTTGTTAACTCTCGCTACATCTCGCTGTATCGCAAATTTGGGCGTGTAGTGATTTTACATGTAACCTCAAGAAATTGACATCTCTTCGCCGGGCCTTCCTGAAACCTTGGAAAAAAAGCAGCGGCGAGTGAACATATTGCTGCTGTTGCGGCGCTTCTGCCTGCAATCTCAATGATCTGTCCTGAGCCCCAGCCTTCCATTGACTTTGGCGGGCCTCTCAGCCGCACTTGGCAAGGCAGAGTCATGTCCGCCAAACACTATCCAACGCACACAAACACTCCTGACCGGAGCTTGTGTCACAAGGCCAGAGAAAAAACACAAACAACACTCAACAACAGAAGCACACATTAACAACAAACATGATAAAGCATACTGCCACGGGTGTGGGAAGACCATCTTTCTCGATGCATTGCAAGCAACACTCTCGCAACAAATGCCAAGCGCATACTTCGGGCGCTTCATGGACCAGTGGCAAATACAAGAACAGCGGTCCGACTTTCTACTTCTTACGCAACATGTTCTACCCGTCATCTTGCGTCTGCCCCTGACCCGTCTGTGCGCGCATTGTCTCAAGCCCCAGCCTCCCGCTGGCTTTGGCTGTCCTGGGCCCAGAATGTCGCATCAGTCGCGGGCTGGCAAGAACCCACAAACATGGTGTTCTCAATTTACCTGATCCCATGGGTTCTCAGCAAGCAAGCAGCAATCAGTTAGCCGCGTTGGCCCCTTCACTGTAAGGATCAAGCCACATTTTCTTGACTGTCGCTTTCAACTCGCCACCTTGTGTCCCATGCGCCGACCCTTGTTAACTCTCGCTACATCTCGCTGTATCGCAAATTTGGGCGTGTAGTGATTTTACAGGTAACCTCAAGAAATTGACATCTCTTCGCCGGGCCTTCCTGAAACCTTGGGAAAAAGCAGCGGCGAGTGAACATATTGCTGCTGTTGCGGCGCTTCCGACTGCAATCTCCATGATCTGTCCTGAGCCCCAGCCTTCCATTGGCTTTGGTGGGCCTCTCAGCCGCACTTGGCAAGGCAGAGTCATGTCAGCCAAACACAATTCAACGCACACACACACACACTCCTGACCGGAGCTTGTGTCACAAGGCCAGAGAAAAAAACACAAACAGCATTCAACAACAGAAGAGCAACAATCGAAACAAGCACACATTAACAACAAACATGATAAAGCATACTGCCACGGGTGTGGGTAGACCATCTTTCTCGATGCATTGCAAGCTACGCTCTCGCAAAAAATGCCAAGCCCACATTTCGGGCGCTTCATGGACCAGTGGCAAATACAAGAACAGCGGTCCGACTTTCTACTTCTTACGCAACATGTTCTACCCGTCATCTTGCGTCTGCCCCTGACCCGTCTGTGCGCGCATTGTCCCAAGCCCCAGCCTCCCGCTGGCTTTGGCTGTCCTGGGCCCAGAATGTCGCATCAGTCGCGTGCTGGCAAGAACCCAACAAACATGTTGTCCTCAATCTACCTGATCCCATGGGTTCTCAGCAAGCAAGCAGCAATCAGTTGGCCGCGTTGGCCCCTTCACTGTAAGGATCAAGCCACATTTTCTTGACTGTCGCTTTCAACTCGCCACCTTGTGTCCCATGCGCCGACCCTTGTTAACTCTCGCTACATCTCGCTGTATCGCAAATTTGGGCGTGTAGTGATTTTACATGTAACCTCAAGAAATTGACATCTCTTCGCCGGGTCTTCCTGAAACCTTGGGAAAAAGCAGCGGCGAGTGAACATATTGCTGCTGTTGCGGCGCTTCCGACTTCAATCTCAATGATCTGTCCTGACCCCCAGCCTTCCATTGACTTTGGCGGGCCTCTCAGCCGCACTTGGCAAGGCAGAGTCATGTCGGCCAAACACTATCCAACGCACACAAACACTCCTGACCGGAGCTTGTGTCACAAGGCCAGAGAAAAAACACAAACAGCATTCAACAACAGAAGAGCAACAATCGAAACAAGCACACATTAACAACAAACATGATAAAGCATACTGCCACGGGTGTGGGTAGACCATCTTTCTCGATGCATTGCAAGCTACGCTCTCGCAAAAAATGCCAAGCCCACATTTCGGGCGCTTGATGGACCAGTGGCAAATACAAGAACAGCGGTCCGACTTTCTACTTCTTACGCAACATGTTCTACCCGTCATCTTGCGTCTGCCCCTGACCCGTCTGTGCGCGCATTGTCCCAAGCCCCAGCCTCCCGCTGGCTTTGGCTGTCCTGGGCCCAGAATGTGGCATCAGTCGCGTGCTGGCAAGAACCCCACAAACATGCTGTCCTCAATCTACCTGATCCCATGGGTTCTCAGCAAGCAAGCAGCAATCAGTTGGCCGCGTTGGCCCCTTCACTGTAAGGATCAAGCCACATTTTCTTGACTGTCGCTTTCAACTCGCCACCTTGTGTCCCATGCGCCGACCCTTGTTAACTCTCGCTACATCTCGCTGTATCGCAAATTTGGGCGTGTAGTGATTTTACAGGTAACCTCAAGAAATTGACATCTCTTCGCCGGGCCTTCCTGAAAACCTTGGAAAAAAGCAGCGGCGAGTGAACATATTGCTGCTGTTGCGGCGCTTCCGACTGCAATCTCCATGATCTGTCCTGAGCCCCAGCCTTCCATTGGCTTTGGCGGGCCTCTCAGCCGCACTTGGCAAGGCAGAGTCATGTGAGCCAAACACAATTCAACGCGCACACACACACACACACACACACACACTTCTCACCGAAGCTTGTGCCACAAGGCCAGAGATAAACACAAACATCAGATTCAACAAAAGAAAAGCAAAAACCGAAACAAGCACACATTAACAACAAACATGACAAAGCGTAATGCCACGGGTGTGGGAAGACCGTCTTTCTGGATGCATTTCAAGCAACACGCTCGCAAAAGGCAAAGCGCTCGCTTTGGGCGCTTGATGGACCATTGGCAAATACAGGAACAGCGGTCCGACTTTCTACTTCTTACGCAACATGTTCTACCCGTCATCTTGCGTCTGCCCCTGACCCGTCTGTGCGCGCATTGTCCCAAGCCCCAGCCTCCCGCTGGCTTTGGCTGTCCTGGGCCCAGAATGTCGCATCAGTCGCGTGCTGGCAAGAACCCAACAAACATGTTGTCCTCAATCTACCTGATCCCATGGGTTCTCAGCAAGCAAGCAGCAATCAGTTGGCCGCGTTGGCCCCTTCACTGTGAGGATCAAGCCACATTTTCTTGACTGTCGCTTTCAACTCGCCAGCTTGTGTGCCATGCGCGAACCCTTGTTAACTCTCTACATCTCGCTGTATCGCAAATTTGGGCGTGTAGTGATTTTACATGTAACCTCAAGAAATTGACATCTCTTCGCCGGGCCTTCCTGAAACCTTGGAAAAAAAACAGCGGCGAGTGAACATATTGCTGCTGTTGCGGCGCTTCTGCCTGCAATCTGAATGATCTGTCCTGAGCCCCAGCAAGGCAGAGTCATGTCGGCCAAACACTATCCAACGCACACAACCACTCCTGACTGGAGCTTGTCTCACAAGGTTAGAGAAAAAACACAAACATCAGATTCAACAAAACAAGAGCAAAAACCGAAACAAGCACACATTAACAAGAAACATGATAAAGCATAATGCCACGGGTGTGGGTAGACCATCTTTCTCGATGCATTGCAAGCAACACTCTCGCAACAAATGCCAAGTGCACATTTTGGGCGCTTGATGGACCATTGGCAAATACAAGAACAGCGGTCCGACTTTCTACTTCTTGCGCAACATGTTCTACCCGTCATCTTGCGTCTGCCCCTGACCCGTCTGTGCGCGCATTGTCCCAAGCCCCAGCCTCCCGCTGGCTTTGGCTGTCCTGGGCCCAGAATGTCGCATCAGTCGCGTGCTGGCAAGAACCCCACAAACATGTTGTCCTCAATCTACCTGATCCCATGGGGTCTCAGCAAGCAAGCAGCAATCAGTTGGTCCACGTTGGCCCCTTCGCTGTAAGGATCAAGCCACATTTTCCTGACTGCCGCTTGCAAAGCGCCACATTTGTGTTCCATGCGCCAATCCTTGCTAACTCTCGCTACATCTCTCCATATCGACTATTTAAGCATGTACTGATTGCAGATCCACCGACCAGATCGACATCTCTTGATTCCTGTGCCTTCCTGAAACCTTGGGAAAAAGCAGCGGCAAGTGAAGCATCATGCTGCTGCTGCGGCACTTCCGACTGCAATCTCACTGCTGTGTCCTGAGCCCCAGCCCTCCATGGACTTTGGCGGGCCTAGCCGCACGTGACTGAGTCAACACAATCCAACGCACACGGCTTGTGTCACAAGGCCAAAGCAACAACAGACACAAAGCAACAGCCGGAATAAGGAAAAAAAGTTCAACACAAAACCAGCATAGACCATCAAAAGACAAACATAGCCAAAAAAAACAACAAGAGCCTGGTGTAGGCAGACCCCCTCGCAAAGCCCCCGGTGCGTCCCCAGAGCTTCAAACGGAGGTCAGGCAACGTCTCGATAGACTCTAGCCTGCAATATTTGCTTTGGAACCTACGTGATCTGAATGCGTCAACGCAAGAACAGCTGATTGGTAGTTAAAAGGCTATGAGTAACGCACCACGTCTTCCTAGCTGCCCCATCCTAGCCTGGCGCCGGCGAGCCTTGGTGAAACTCGGGCAAGAAGGTTGGCTCTCTGCTGTTTGTGTGGGGGGATGTTCGAACCTCTTTTTCGGATGTTCAAAGGGGGTCTGGAGGGAGTCGGTCGGCTTTTGAAACACATCAACACAGGTGACCAATTTGTGTGGTTAATGTTAGTGCCAATTGTTTCTGGAAGTCCCCGTTGTGCAACGCTACTTGACTGGGCTCCACAGAAGAACACATGCGCCAACTGGAACAACGCTGGCAACCCAACTTTAGGGGAACCCATTGCACGTTTCGCTTTGGGCAAATCAAACAGAACCTACCTCCTTGCAAACGAACGTGGAACCCCGAATCGCAAAACTGGTGCTGGCCGAACCCCGGTTTTAGTTCCATCTCATTCTTGCTGGGGAGCCGTGCCGATCTTAGGGTATTTTTGGACAAGATGGCACTGGTAAGCGACTAGCCGACGTGAAGCCAGCGCCATCTACTTTGAACCACACTAACCTTGTTCATAAACAGGACATTCCCAGATCTCCAGCTCACACTGGGCTTCCGAGCTCGAAATGGCGGGAACGGCCGGAGCCTTGCCCGTGGCCGCCTCCAGCCCACCTCCGGGGAACTAGCAAGGCAGAATAGGCTCCTCCATGATACGACATCGCCTGGTGTGCCCGTGTCAAAAGCAGAGAAGATACCAAACTGAAGAACACCGATTTGGAAAAGGAAACCCTTGGCGCGACCCGTGTGGACCCTTCATTTGAGAAGTTGAAACCACCAAAATCCGCCGCCCCTCCTCTCTTAGCCCACTCACGCCCAGGAGACCGGCGTGGCATACAACGAACTATGCGCCATATGGGAAAGACCTCATTTTCGGAGCAATTGGATTCCCAGCACCTGCCCTTATAGGGCTGTCCGCAGGGCTAGTTTCAGGGCAAGGAGAGAAATTCCGCCCTGCCTGCCCCTTAGGCCAGCCTAGCCCCTGATGAAAAGGGTTTCGTCCAAGTCTAACCCAGGGGCTTGCCCCGAGACCTAGCCCAAACTTGCCCCAAGGCTTGTTCCAGGTCTGAGGCTGGTCCTGGGGCCTGGGGCTGGCCCTAGGGCCCATTGAGGGTTCAACTCCTTCCCGGACCACACTGCTTTATTGACTGCGCAGAAGGTCCGGGCAAGCGCTTGCAGCGATTTTTCTTGAGCGTTCTGCGGCGCCTCCGTGGTCACGAGCGTGCAAGTGCTGGGGGGGTCCCATTCAAGTCCGTACTCTTTTCCCTGACCGTTTTGTGGACTTGCGCGGTATGGACAAGGGCCAGAATTTTCTTGGGCGCGGATGGCTTTGGAATGGACAAGCCGACGCAGTCCAGACAGGCTGCGAATGCCAACGCTGCGAATGCCAACATCCCCAGCATCACCAGCACCACCGCGGCACCCGGTGCTAGTACTTTCTTGACCGGCAGTCAGGCCTATCCCTCAAAGCTGGCCTGGCGCCGGCTCAAGGTCTGACTGGGCCCTGAGAAAACGTCGAAAACTTGTCGTACCGATAGCCGAAAGATCTTCCTCGAATAGAAAGCGCGTAAACGTTGTTGTGTGTGAGCTTTTGGAGTGCACCTGTTTTTCGGGTGGTTCTTTTGACACAGCCCCATAAAAGCATACTTGCTCAGTCCTGCCAGGCAAATCCTACTCTAGCAGCTGAGCAGCCCTGTCGGCCGATGAACGCAAAAGAACACAGGGCCGGCCATTTGCTCGTGGAAGCCACTTTGCGCAAGCTGGGATGGATGAAGCCCTTGGGTAAATTCCTTCCGTCATATCCCGGTCACGTTCCCCCGATCAAATCCCCACTAAAACTCCCAAATTTCAGGAGAACCGGTCAAACTCCGTCTAGAAGCCGGTCAAATTCCCTCTGGAAACCAGTCAAATGCCCTCTAAAACTGGCCCAACTCCAGTCATATGCCCCTAGAAACCGGTCACATCCCCCCCCGGAAACCGGTCAAATTCCGGTCAAACTCTTCACATATTCCCTCAGGCTTCGCTTGCAGCCAAAAGCATTCTGGCCGAGGCGGGCAACGCCCAGCGTTTGCAATAAGGATAGCTAAACCTGTGAAGTGGTGCAGGATTCTTCGGATTCACCTTCGGAATGCCACTGAAGCACTGAGAAAAACAAAGGGATCAACTACAGAGCAGCCCTTGCTCTCGGCAACAGAGAATCCTTGGAGGAATCGATAAGTCATAGAGTGCGTTTCTTAAAACGTTGGTATGGATCTTTGAAATAAGGGCCAGCGTCTTCAAACATGGCAGGATTTGCTTATTGGGGATCCTTTGGCAAGCCTGCCTCTCCAGTCGGATGCTTCCTAAAATAGGAAGCTCCGTTGTGTGGACGTGTTTTTTTGCACCCAACATCCCCAACTCATTACCCAAATCAGGACACAGCCCCTTTGACCAGCCTCTCCCGTCGTGAGGCTGCGTTTGCTTGCCTGCATGGCACTCCAAAGCAGCATAGCAGTGGCACACTAGGTAAAAAGGAAAAGTGGGACCGTGAAACCAACAGGTTCTAATCTTCCACGGACCCTCTTGTCTTGCTGCATCCCCCTGGCTTCCTTTATTCGGGTCCCCAAAACCCTAA